AAAGCTGCTGGTGAGCGTCTTAAAGAGGGGGCTAACATAAACAAATCTTTGTCGTATTAGGAAATGTGATAAGGCACACTAAGCGAGGGGAAGGAGTTTATCAGTTATCGCGATTCGAAAATTGACTAGACTGCTCTCACAGGCTCTTGGCGGTAATGCCAAATCTTGATTATTCGGGAATGTTACTTTAGCTGAGAGGAGGAGACTAGATCTACCAGAATTCGCCCAAAGCACTAAAACTGTCAAAAATAAAACGAAAGTAACTCTTGTCGCTACAGAAGAGACACTTCAAGGATATAGAACTTGACTCGCGATCTCGAAACTCGGCTCAAAAAGCAGGCAATTAAGCTAAAAGAGATGGATAAAAGCAACAAAGAGTATCTGCCGAGATAGAAAGACTAAAAACGGAAGTAGTATCTATTGTCGGGCGCTTTCAAATGGAGCCTCGGCATCACCACACCGAAAAAAACATTAAGACGTCATACTTTTGGACACTATGGCAACGTATCACCTAAAAAAAGCATCCCTAGGGTATATGCCATTGAAAAAATTATCCACCCAAAGAAGAATCATCCGGACGTGAAATGAGGCCTATTCAAGAAGAGACATATGAGGAGGCACTAGCCGAAGCAGAATCTGTGATAGCTGAAGACGTGCAGTGTACTTAAAGACAACGCAAAGAACTGGAAGAATCTTTCAATGAGCTTAGAGAATTCACTAAACTAGATATCAGCTGGAGATTTTGGACCTGAAGAAACAGCTCACAGAAGCCAATTCTAAATTCGATCGTTACAAGGAACTCCGCCAAGTAACGGATGCGTACAACGAAGAATAGAAAGAGTTCAAAAAAATTCTCAAAAAGCGCAAGAATTTCATCGACTTGCAATAAGACTCGATTTTCTGGAAAAAAAATAAAAAAGACTAAAACATACGAGTCAGAAATAGAGATGCTGCGTACTCAACTGAAGAACCTAGGAAGATCAGAGAGCCCTAAACCATCTCTTGAAGCTCAAAATATTGAGTCAAAAAAGAAGGTTGCAGACTAGAAGCTATGCTTGACGCTGAGTACGAAGATATGCAACATTCTTTAAGTGCTGCTGCACAAACTGATGTAACGATGTCACACATTGCTGAACTGCAAGATGAAATTGGCTTCCTAAAAGAACTTGAATCTAAACTGAGATATGACCGTAAAGAGGTCTGATGGACGAGAGTAACCAACGTGAGGTCAACCACTCATTTAAAATCTCAGATATACGATGCCATAATGATTCTATATAAAAGAGCTTCAGGATCAAATGGCTGAACTGGAATGCCAAAACGAAATCTGGATTATGAAAAAGGACGAATCGAGAAAAAATTGCAACACTACTTACAAACCCGAAGCAGGCTGGCACTTAAACCAGAACCACCTGTGCAGGAAGACGTTGCATTTTATAGGGAGCAAGTTGAGTTCTCCCAGAACATGTACAAAAATGAGATAATAGGTGGAGAGTTACGTAATAAACCATAAGAAAAATCTTCAGGCAGTTAAACTAGAAATATGTCTACCCTTGTTTAGTGTTTTACGATTATTGCAGGGTTTGGACAAAGTTTAGGGCTGATCCCAGTGCTCACAGTGTACAATTTTCAGCTAATAAATCTTGAATTCTGAGGTAACAAATCAACTAGAAACTCTGAAAAGTGATTTATCAGAAATCATGCCCTTATTCCATGAAGAGGGATTCGTAAAAATTAAGCAGGTTGTGGCTTATTATCTAGTAAAGATACAAGAATCCCAGATCTGAAAACGATTTATTGTTCATGTGATCACAAACTAGCAGCGACTTGGTTTGTGCGTTGTTGGCACTATTTCTAATCAGGGCCGCAACGATCAAAAACGCACTTGAGACGATTTGCTCGGAGAATACTCACGGATCAAGTCCATTCCATTTTATAGTCAATGCTCAGAGTATTTCTACAATTTGTGATGAACCACATTTATTCAAAAATGGATGAAATGCTCTTATTGACATTAATATGAAAGTGAAGAAGCTGCACAGATTGAACATGTCTAGAAATCATATAATGTTGATCAGCAAACAAGACCATACAAAGAGCTATGTAAATTGAAACCCAGCCACTTGATTTTATAGATTCGTTCAAGAATATAGAAATTAATCCTTTAATGATATCGTCGGATGATTCGAGCTTTCTCAGTTATGTGGTGGGGGTCCCGTGACTTCTCATACGGTATGAGCACGTATACCTCAAACCACAGTTTAATTTAAACATCACAATTGTTGGTTTGTTGACTTTGCGGTCAAATTTGATCCGAGGATGTCAGTTGCGTGTACGATTTGAACTTCCTTCACAATGGATTTTTTCGTTGTTGACGGATGAACAATACACTATAGACTACGCCGAGGACGACGCTGCTATCGATCAACCTGAACAACTTCCTATGGGCGACCTCGCTATGCCTATGGAAAAAACATGTACAATTGGTCAAAACGAGCGCCTGCAACTGGTCGATTATTACGCATTTACCTGAACTAAAGTCCGTGGCAACCAATTTGGAAAATAATAACCCTGTGACTCGAGAAATGCCGATAAATTTCTCCAAATACGTGAAATTTTCGAGACACTCATAGAGAACTGTCGAAATTGTTATATTTCGGGTGAGTCCCCTACAAAATACGAGATGCTCGTGGGCCGGCCGATGTCCTTCCTGTGCCTACAAGAAAACTAAACCGAATAAGTATGGACTGATGATGCAAAGACTCACCACTACCTGCTCAATGCTTTCGTCTATACGAACAGAAATTCACAGCAGATGACTGGTTCACGTCAGTAGAATTACATGTAGAATTGCGCATCAACCAACTGACCTATGTCGGCAGGAAGCGTAAAAATAAGTAACAAGTACCCCAACATGTAGTTCCAAATAAGAAGGAAACACAGCCAGGTACTTCTAAGTTTATGTTGTACAGCCTTAGTAGTATCTTCCAAAACCAATACACATGTTCTCGTATAGCAATCTATGCAGCATGATAACAAAATAGTAGAGGAATCAAAGAAACCTGATAAGATCCTATATTTTTTATAACACTATGAAGGCGGGGGGGTAATGCATTAGATCGGAAGTGTGTAAATTACAATACTGGTTAGAGAACGAGAAGATGGCCTTGTGCTATTTGGTATCCAACCAGCTTCTGTAAATTCCTTTTTTTTTCAGTCTGGGACTGAAAGTTCCATTAGGCGACGAAATTTTATTGTTCCCCTGAGGCAAACTCTAATTTAACTTCGTATGAGAGGACGTTTATCAGATCCAAGACTTCCTAGGGAGCTTCGTTCAGCCATGCAAAGAATCCTAAATTACCAACGACGAATAAAGTAAGCCGTCTACTTCTCAGCCCAGAGTTCTCGATCCTGATGCAGTTGTTAAAGAAAAAAAACGACGTAGGTGTTACATGACAATACACAATGAAAAAAATGTTCTACAATCTGTAATAAGTATGTAAAGTCACAGCGCACTTACATTGTTTCGTGAAAAGTGATAAATGTTAATTATTGTATGTTTCCTTATACGAGAAAGTATTTGTTTTTGTTGTAGAATATCAACACCAAATATGTTGTTAAATGGCCCATTTTGTTAGTTTTTTTATGTTCATATTACAGTTCAAGTTTCGAGGATTATATTTATTGCATTACTCATCTTCAATGGGGTATTTTCGTTTTTAGACAATAAACAGTTTTCATGTAAGAGTGTCTTATGCGTACAAACCTGTTGTACACATGGCTAAAAACAGTAATGGCATTTCAGATGTTGATAGTAAGATCCGGTGGATAACCTGTTTTGCGAGATTAGACGTGGGATTTCCAACACGAACACCATCTGTTTATTTGAAGCATTAAAAACTGTAATAATCAACAATTTCAGTTTTCCATTGACAATAATGAAGAATTATGAAGGCGATTCATGTAAGGCACTAGGTAACTTCGCGTTGCTTTTAGAAGAGTATTGTCTGAATAGACAACAGTTACCTTGTGATTCTTCACCGAGCTGCATTTTTCAAGTTGAAAAATCGGGTGCTGAAAGTGATGGATCTATAGATTTGTGAGAATTTGCTGCTGCTTCAACTTCTTTTGTAATAACAATAACAGTCTATATGAAATTTAACAATTCTGTTTCTTCTTTGATTTTGAGTCACCCTGTAAATGTAGCTCTACTAAACTATCGGACCGCATTCATAGCCTACAAGAGAAAAAAATCTTCTATACTGGAAAGGAGGAAAAAAAGAATGTATCAACCTGATACATCTGCCCCTCTTTATAACCCGTGAAATAGCCCTAGTTCTAATTAAATTTCAGTTCAAGCTTCCAAAATGACTTCCGACAATATTAAAGTAGCCACAAAGATCAGACCAATGATCCACCGCGAAGTAGCCGATGGTCTAGAGCGTCTTTGGAACGTAAGAGTAAACTGCATATGGGAAGCCGATGAAAGTAGTCGCCATGGAGAGGTTTATATATTCGACCATGTATTTAAGCAGGAATGTACAAATTCAGATGTATATGGATCTGTAGTAAAACCTTTAGTCGATTCCTTCATGGAAGGTTTCAATGCCACAATATTTGCATATGGCCAAACATCTTCTGGCAAAACACACACCATTTTGGGCAATAAAACAGATCCTGGGCTTTTCCAATTAGTATCCAATCAGTTATTCCAGCATGTGGCAGACCAGGTTGATAAGAGGTACTTGATTAGATGCAGTTATATTGAAATCTACAATGAAAAGATCAATGACCTCCTGGATAAGAGCAATCAGGGTTTAACTATAAGAAGATATCAAAGGAAATGTGCTGCTTGATGCAAGGGAAGCTGTCGTAGACAATGTTGATAAAGTTATGGAGAACATGATGCAGGGCAATAAGATCAGACGAGTTGCAGCTACTCGCATGAATGAGAGGTCATCTCGATCACACACGATTTTCCGGATTATTCTGGAGTCGAAAGATGCCAATCAGAAAGATGGACCTGTACATATAAGCTACCTTAACTTAATGGACTTAGCTGGTTCTGAGAGAGTTTCTCTGACGAAAGCTGCTGGTGAGCGTCTTAAAGAGGGGGCTAACATAAACAAATCTTTGTCAGTATTAGGAAATGTGATAAGGCAACTAAGCGAGGGGAAGGAGTTTATCAGTTATCGCGATTCGAAATTGACTAGACTGCTCTCACAGGCTCTTGGCGGTAATGCCAAATCATTGATTATCGGGAATGTTACTTTAGCTGCAGAGGAGGAGACTAGATCTACACCAGAATTCGCCCAAAGCACTAAAACTGTCAAAAATAAAACGAAAGTAAACATCTTGTCAGCTACAGAAGAGACACTTCAAGGATATCAGAACTTGACTCGCGATCTCGAAACTCGGCTCAAAAAGCAGGCAATTAAGCTAAAAGAGATGGATAAAAGCAAACAAGAGTATCTGCTCGAGATAGAAAGACTAAAAACGGAAGTATCTATTGTCGGGCGCTTTCAAATGGGAGCCTCGGCATCAACACCGAAAAAAACATTAAGACGTCATACTTTTGGACACTATGGCAACGTATCACCTAAAAAAGCATCCCTAGGGTATATGCCATTGAAAAATTATCCACCCAAAGAAGAATCATCCGGACGTGAAATGAGGCCTATTCAAGAAGAGACATATGAGGAGGCACTAGCCGAAGCAGAATCTGTGATAGCTGAAGACGTGCAAGTGTACTTAAAAGACAACTCAAAGAACTGGAAGAATCTTTCAATGAGCTTAGAGAATTCACTAAACTAGATAATCAGCTGGAGATTTTGGACCTGAAGAAACAGCTCACAGAAGCCAATTCTAAATTCGATCGTTACAGTCAGGAACTCCGCCAAGTAACGGATGCGTACAACGAAGAAATAGAAAGAGTTCAAAAAAATTCTCAAAAAGCGCAAGAATTTCATCGACTTGCAATACAGACTCGATTTTCTGGAAAAAAATAATAAAAAGACTAAAAACATACGAGTCAGAAATAGAGATGCTGCGTACTCAACTGAAGAACCTAGGAAGATCAGAGAGCCCTAAACCATCTCTTGAAGCTCAAAATATTGAGTCAAAAAAGAAGGTTGCAGACTTAGAAGCTATGCTTGACGCTGAGTACGAAGATATGCAACATTCTTTAAGTGCTGCTGCACAAACTGATGTAACGATGTCACACATTGCTGAACTGCAAGATGAAATTGGCTTCCTAAAAGAACTTGAATCTAAACTGAGAAATGACGTAAAGAGTCTGATGGACGAGAGTAACCAACGTGAGGTCAACCACTCATTTAAAATCTCAGATATACGATGCCATAATGATTCTACTATAAAAGAGCTTCAGGATCAAATGGCTGAACTGGAATGCCAAAACGAAATCTGGATTATGAAAAAGGACGACGAAATCAGAAAATTGCAACAACTAATTACAAACCCGAAGCAGGCTGGCACTTAACCAGAACCACCTGTGCAGGAAGACGTTGCATTTTATAGGGAGCAAGTTGAGTTCTCCCAGAACATGTACAAAAATGAGATAATAGGTGGAGAGTTACGTATAAACCATAGAGAAAATCTTCAGGCAGTTAAACTAGAAATATGTCTACCCTTGTTTAGTGTTTACGATTATTGCAGGGTTTGGACAAAGTTTAGGGCTGATCCCAGTGCTCACAGTGTACAATTTTCAGCTAATAAATCTTGAATTCTGAGGTAACAAAATCAACTAGAACTCTGAAAAAGTGATTTATCAGAAATCATGCCCTTACTTCCATGATAAGAGGGATTCGTAAAAATTATAAGCAGGTTGTGGCTTATTATCTAGTAAAAGATACAAGAATCCCAGATCTGAAAACGATTATTGTTCATGTGATCACAAACTAGCAGCGACTTGGTTTGTGCGTTGTTGGCACTATTTCTAATCAGGGCGCAACGATCAAAAACGCACTTGAGACGATTTGCTCGGAGAATACTCACGGATCAAGTCCATTCCATTTTATAGTCAATGCTCAGAGTATTTCTACAATTTGTGATGAACCACATTTATTCAAAAATGGATGAAATGCTCTTATTGACATTAATATGAAAGTGAAGAAGCTGCACAGATTGAACATGTCTAGAAATCATATAATGTTGATCAGCAAACAAGACCATACAAAGAGCTATGTAAATTGAAACCCAGCCACTTTGATTTTATAGATTCGTTCAAGAATATAGAAATTAATCCTTTAATGATATCGTCGGATGATTCGAGCTTTCTCAGTTATGTGGTGGGGGTCCCGTGACTTCTCATACGGTATGAGCACGTATACCTCAAACCACAGTTTAATTTAAACATCACAATTGTTGGTTTGTTGACTTTGCGGTCAAATTTGATCCGAGGATGTCAGTTGCGTGTACGATTTGAACTTCCTTCACAATGGATTTTTTCGTTGTTGACGGATGAACAATACACTATAGACTACGCCGAGGACGACGCTGCTATCGATCAACCTGAACAACTTCCTATGGGCGACCTCGCTATGCCTATGGAAAAAACATGTACAATTGGTCAAAACGAGCGCCTGCAACTGGTCGATTATTACGCATTTACCTGAACTAAAGTCCGTGGCAACCAATTTGGAAAATAATAACCCTGTGACTCGAGAAATGCCGATAAATTTCTCCAAATACGTGAAATTTTCGAGACACTCATAGAGAACTGTCGAAATTGTTATATTTCGGGTGAGTCCCCTACAAAATACGAGATGCTCGTGGGCCGATGTCCTTCCTGTGCCTACAAGAAAACTAAACCGAATAAGTATGGACTGATGATGCAAAGACTCACCACTACCTGCTCAATGCTTTCGTCTATACGAACAGAAATATCACAGCAGATGACTGGTTCACGTCAGTAGAATTACATGTAGAATTGCGCATCAACCAACTGACCTATGTCGGCAGGAAGCGTAAAAATAAGTAACAAGTACCCCAACATGTAGTTCCAAATAAGAAGGAAACACAGCCAGGTACTTCTAAGTTTATGTTGTACAGCCTTAGAGTAGTATCTTCCAAAACCAAATACACATGTTCTCGTATAGCAATCTATGCAGCATGATAACAAAATAGTAGAGGAATCAAAAAACCTGATAAGATCCTATATTATTTTTATAACACTATGAAGGCGGGGGGTAATGCATTAGATCGGAAGTGTGTAAATTACAATACTGGTTAGAGAACGAGAAGATGGCCTTGTGCTATTTGGTATCCAACCAGCTTCTGTAAATTCCTTTTTTTTTCAGTCTGGGACTGAAAGTTCCATTAGGCGACGAAATTTTATTGTTCCCCTGAGGCAAACTCTAATTTAACTTCGTATGAGAGGACGTTTATCAGATCCAAGACTTCCTAGGGAGCTTCGTTCAGCCATGCAAAGAATCCTAAATTACCAACGACGAATAAAGTAAGCCGTCTACTTCTCAGCCCAGAGTTCTCGATCCTGATGCAGTTGTTAAAGAAAAAAAACGACGTAGGTGTTACATGACAATACACAATGAAAAAAATGTTCTACAATCTGTAATAAGTATGTAAAGTCACAGCGCACTTACATTGTTTCGTGAAAAGTGATAAATGTTAATTATTGTATGTTTCCTTATACGAGAAAGTATTTGTTTTTGTTGTAGAATATCAACACCAAATATGTTGTTAAATGGCCCATTTTGTTAGTTTTTTTATGTTCATATTACAGTTCAAGTTTCGAGGATTATATTTATTGCATTACTCATCTTCAATGGGGTATTTTCGTTTTTAGACAATAAACAGTTTTCATGTAAGAGTGTCTTATGCGTACAAACCTGTTGTACACATGGCTAAAAACAGTAATGGCATTTCAGATGTTGATAGTAAGATCCGGTGGATAACCTGTTTTGCGAGATTAGACGTGGGATTTCCAACACGAACACCATCTGTTTATTTGAAGCATTAAAAACTGTAATAATCAACAATTTCAGTTTTCCATTGACAATAATGAAGAATTATGAAGGCGATTCATGTAAGGCACTAGGTAACTTCGCGTTGCTTTTAGAAGAGTATTGTCTGAATAGACAACAGTTACCTTGTGATTCTTCACCGAGCTGCATTTTTCAAGTTGAAAAATCGGGTGCTGAAAGTGATGGATCTATAGATTTGTGAGAATTTGCTGCTGCTTCAACTTCTTTTTGTAATAACAATAACAGTCTATATGAAATTTAACAATTCTGTTTCTTCTTTGATTTTGAGTCACCCTGTAAATGTAGCTCTACTAAACTATCGGACCGCATTCATAGCCTACAAGAGAAAAAAATCTTCTATACTGGAAAGGAGGAAAAAAAGAATGTATCAACCTGATACATCTGCCCCTCTTTATAACCCGTGAAATAGCCCTAGTTCTAATTAAATTTCAGTTCAAGCTTCCAAAATGACTTCCAACAATATTAAAGTAGCCACAAAGATCAGACCAATGATCCACCGCGAAGTAGCCGATGGTTCTAGAGCGTCTTTGGAACGTAAGAGTAAACTGCATATGGGAAGCCGATGAAAGTAGTCGCCATGGAGAGGTTTATATATTCGACCATGTATTTAATCAGGAATGTACAAATTCAGATGTATATGGATCTGTAGTAAAACCTTTAGTCGATTCCTTCATGGAAGGTTTCAATGCCACAATATTTGCATATGGCCAAACATCTTCTGGCAAAACACACACCATTTTGGGCAATAAAACAGATCCTGGGCTTTTCCAATTAGTATCCAATCAGTTATTCCAGCATGTGGCAGACCAGGTTGATAAGAGGTACTTGATTAGATGCAGTTATATTGAAATCTACAATGAAAAGATCAATGACCTCCTGGATAAGAGCAATCAGGGTTTAACTATGAGAAGATATCAAAGGAAATGTGCTGCAATGGAAGCTGTCGTAGACAATGTTGATAAAGTTATGGAGAACATGATGCAGGGCAATAAGATCAGACGAGTTGCAGCTACTCGCATGAATGAGAGGTCATCTCGATCACACACGATTTTCCGGATTATTCTGGAGTCGAAAGATGCCAATCAGAAAGATGGACCTGTACATATAAGCTACCTTAACTTAATGGACTTAGCTGGTTCTGAGAGAGTTTCTCTGACGAAAGCTGCTGGTGAGCGTCTTAAAGAGGGGGCTAACATAAACAAATCTTTGTCAGTATTAGGAAATGTGATAAGGCAACTAAGCGAGGGGAAGGAGTTTATCAGTTATCGCGATTCGAAATTGACTAGACTGCTCTCACAGGCTCTTGGCGGTAATGCCAAATCATTGATTATCGGGAATGTTACTTTAGCTGCAGAGGAGGAGACTAGATCTACACCAGAATTCGCCCAAAGCACTAAAACTGTCAAAAATAAAACGAAAGTAAACATCTTGTCAGCTACAGAAGAGACACTTCAAGGATATCAGAACTTGACTCGCGATCTCGAAACTCGGCTCAAAAAGCAGGCAATTAAGCTAAAAGAGATGGATAAAAGCAAACAAGAGTATCTGCTCGAGATAGAAAGACTAAAAACGGAAGTATCTATTGTCGGGCGCTTTCAAATGGGAGCCTCGGCATCAACACCGAAAAAAACATTAAGACGTCATACTTTTGGACACTATGGCAACGTATCACCTAAAAAAGCATCCCTAGGGTATATGCCATTGAAAAATTATCCACCCAAAGAAGAATCATCCGGACGTGAAATGAGGCCTATTCAAGAAGAGACATATGAGGAGGCACTAGCCGAAGCAGAATCTGTGATAGCTGAAGACGTGCAAGTGTACTTAAAAGACAACTCAAAGAACTGGAAGAATCTTTCAATGAGCTTAGAGAATTCACTAAACTAGATAATCAGCTGGAGATTTTGGACCTGAAGAAACAGCTCACAGAAGCCAATTCTAAATTCGATCGTTACAGTCAGGAACTCCGCCAAGTAACGGATGCGTACAACGAAGAAATAGAAAGAGTTCAAAAAAATTCTCAAAAAGCGCAAGAATTTCATCGACTTGCAATACAGACTCGATTTTCTGGAAAAAAATAATAAAAAGACTAAAAACATACGAGTCAGAAATAGAGATGCTGCGTACTCAACTGAAGAACCTAGGAAGATCAGAGAGCCCTAAACCATCTCTTGAAGCTCAAAATATTGAGTCAAAAAAGAAGGTTGCAGACTTAGAAGCTATGCTTGACGCTGAGTACGAAGATATGCAACATTCTTTAAGTGCTGCTGCACAAACTGATGTAACGATGTCACACATTGCTGAACTGCAAGATGAAATTGGCTTCCTAAAAGAACTTGAATCTAAACTGAGAAATGACGTAAAGAGTCTGATGGACGAGAGTAACCAACGTGAGGTCAACCACTCATTTAAAATCTCAGATATACGATGCCATAATGATTCTACTATAAAAGAGCTTCAGGATCAAATGGCTGAACTGGAATGCCAAAACGAAATCTGGATTATGAAAAAGGACGACGAAATCAGAAAATTGCAACAACTAATTACAAACCCGAAGCAGGCTGGCACTTAACCAGAACCACCTGTGCAGGAAGACGTTGCATTTTATAGGGAGCAAGTTGAGTTCTCCCAGAACATGTACAAAAATGAGATAATAGGTGGAGAGTTACGTATAAACCATAGAGAAAATCTTCAGGCAGTTAAACTAGAAATATGTCTACCCTTGTTTAGTGTTTACGATTATTGCAGGGTTTGGACAAAGTTTAGGGCTGATCCCAGTGCTCACAGTGTACAATTTTCAGCTAATAAATCTTGAATTCTGAGGTAACAAAATCAACTAGAACTCTGAAAAAGTGATTTATCAGAAATCATGCCCTTACTTCCATGATAAGAGGGATTCGTAAAAATTATAAGCAGGTTGTGGCTTATTATCTAGTAAAAGATACAAGAATCCCAGATCTGAAAACGATTATTGTTCATGTGATCACAAACTAGCAGCGACTTGGTTTGTGCGTTGTTGGCACTATTTCTAATCAGGGCGCAACGATCAAAAACGCACTTGAGACGATTTGCTCGGAGAATACTCACGGATCAAGTCCATTCCATTTTATAGTCAATGCTCAGAGTATTTCTACAATTTGTGATGAACCACATTTATTCAAAAATGGATGAAATGCTCTTATTGACATTAATATGAAAGTGAAGAAGCTGCACAGATTGAACATGTCTAGAAATCATATAATGTTGATCAGCAAACAAGACCATACAAAGAGCTATGTAAATTGAAACCCAGCCACTTTGATTTTATAGATTCGTTCAAGAATATAGAAATTAATCCTTTAATGATATCGTCGGATGATTCGAGCTTTCTCAGTTATGTGGGGGGTCCCGTGACTTCTCATACGGTATGAGCACGTATACCTCAAACCACAGTTTAATTTAAACATCACAATTGTTGGTTTGTTGACTTTGCGGTCAAATTTGATCCGAGGATGTCAGTTGCGTGTACGATTTGAACTTCCTTCACAATGGATTTTTTCGTTGTTGACGGATGAACAATACACTATAGACTACGCCGAGGACGACGCTGCTATCGATCAACCTGAACAACTTCCTATGGGCGACCTCGCTATGCCTATGGAAAAAACATGTACAATTGGTCAAAACGAGCGCCTGCAACTGGTCGATTATTACGCATTTACCTGAACTAAAGTCCGTGGCAACCAATTTGGAAAATAATAACCCTGTGACTCGAGAAATGCCGATAAATTTCTCCAAATACGTGAAATTTTCGAGACACTCATAGAGAACTGTCGAAATTGTTATATTTCGGGTGAGTCCCCTACAAAATACGAGATGCTCGTGGGCCGATGTCCTTCCTGTGCCTACAAGAAAACTAAACCGAATAAGTATGGACTGATGATGCAAAGACTCACCACTACCTGCTCAATGCTTTCGTCTATACGAACAGAAATATCACAGCAGATGACTGGTTCACGTCAGTAGAATTACATGTAGAATTGCGCATCAACCAACTGACCTATGTCGGCAGGAAGCGTAAAAATAAGTAACAAGTACCCCAACATGTAGTTCCAAATAAGAAGGAAACACAGCCAGGTACTTCTAAGTTTATGTTGTACAGCCTTAGAGTAGTATCTTCCAAAACCAAATACACATGTTCTCGTATAGCAATCTATGCAGCATGATAACAAAATAGTAGAGGAATCAAAGAAACCTGATAAGATCCTATATTATTTTTATAACACTATGAAGGGGGGGGTAATGCATTAGATCGGAAGTGTGTAAATTACAATACTGGTTAGAGAACGAGAAGATGGCCTTGTGCTATTTGGTATCCAACCAGCTTCTGTAAATTCCTTTTTTTTCAGTCTGGGACTGAAAGTTCCATTAGGCGACGAAATTTTATTGTTCCCCTGAGGCAAACTCTAATTTAACTTCGTATGAGAGGACGTTTATCAGATCCAAGACTTCCTAGGGAGCTTCGTTCAGCCATGCAAAGAATCCTAAATTACCAACGACGAATAAAGTAAGCCGTCTACTTCTCAGCCCAGAGTTCTCGATCCTGATGCAGTTGTTAAAGAAAAAAAACGACGTAGGTGTTACATGACAATACACAATGAAAAAAATGTTCTACAATCTGTAATAAGTATGTAAAGTCACAGCGCACTTACATTGTTTCGTGAAAAGTGATAAATGTTAATTATTGTATGTTTCCTTATACGAGAAAGTATTTGTTTTTGTTGTAGAATATCAACACCAAATATGTTGTTAAATGGCCCATTTTGTTAGTTTTTTTATGTTCATATTACAGTTCAAGTTTCGAGGATTATATTTATTGCATTACTCATCTTCAATGGGGTATTTTCGTTTTTAGACAATAAACAGTTTTCATGTAAGAGTGTCTTATGCGTACAAACCTGTTGTACACATGGCTAAAAACAGTAATGGCATTTCAGATGTTGATAGTAAGATCCGGTGGATAACCTGTTTTGCGAGATTAGACGTGGGATTTCCAACACGAACACCATCTGTTTATTTGAAGCATTAAAAACTGTAATAATCAACAATTTCAGTTTTCCATTGACAATAATGAAGAATTATGAAGGCGATTCATGTAAGGCACTAGGTAACTTCGCGTTGCTTTTAGAAGAGTATTGTCTGAATAGACAACAGTTACCTTGTGATTCTTCACCGAGCTGCATTTTTCAAGTTGAAAAATCGGGTGCTGAAAGTGATGGATCTATAGATTTGTGAGAATTTGCTGCTGCTTCAACTTCTTTTTGTAATAACAATAACAGTCTATATGAAA